ATTATGCAATTTACCTGCCAGAATTTAATTAAATACATTAAGTTATATTTTGTTTTCTCACCTAAAAACCGTAATACATTAAGTAATACCTACTACCTACCTTTATAATATTATGTGTAGGTACTTAATTTATACTTTTAGACCAATGGACCAAAATATTTACTAATATCAGTATTAATTCATGTCCATAAAATACATTAGTCATATTATGTAGGTACATAATATATATATATCAATTTGTTATTCATAAATTATTACATTTGATATTAAATAAATAAATATACTTGATAGACCATAGACATATATATTGAGTAATATCAAATTATGTCATATCATTATACAATTGAACCATCAGAGTATTATATACTATTTGAAAAATATAGGTGCGTTGGTCATTGTAAATGTGTCAAATATTAACTAAATATTAATTATTATTATTATTATTATTTATTAAATACTTATAGTATAGTCATATAATATGATGAAATTCATCGAGTTATATTTTGAATATACATAATTTGACTCACCTAAAAATAGTATATTATATTATATTATATTATATTATCGCGCACTCTGGAATATTTATTATATATGCGTTTTCGCTTTTATCAACTTGACTACGGAATATTGTTTATACCATGATAAAATAACATGGTATGCTGGCAACTTTATGATACGCATACCCCTTACCCCGCCGACCATCATACAGAGCTGTATCCAGTTCGCCGCTTTTCATTGGTTTTCATGATCAATATATATACATAGTGCATTATGAGGAGAACTGGATACAATGAAATGCGCAAACTCCGACGATATTCAGTTCGTTGCCATCATACCATGTTATTTTATCATGGTTTATACGTTTATACTGGTTTGTTTATAATATCATATGATATGTTTCCAAAAAGATTACAAAATATTGAAACGGAAAATATCAAAAACTTTATAAACAAAACATCGTACCGTTTTCGTGACGCGCGAGCGTCCGTGACGCCCGAGCGTCCGTGACGCCCGAGGGTCCGTGACGCCCGAGCGTCACTCTCTTTTTTTTCAATACCCCTCACATAAGAAGTTTAACTTCAAAAAAACAACTTAAGAACACCCTCATTATTCTGAATCGATTGGCGTTGATTGTAGGTGGAACACACACCTTTCCTATCAGTTAGGTACGTCTGATGATGTCGTCACGTTATTAATGCCTTCTACGTTATTTTGTGCACTTATCGATGCATAAAACATTGTGAGGGTAAAGTTTTATTTTCAATTGAACGAGCAGATTCATATTAAGGCAACAGCAGACGATAAGACAATTTCGACACAACAAAGAGGTTGTATAGTAAATAGAAGTGAAAAAATTTGTAAAATAATATTTGAATATTTTACAATACCTACTTTGTGGATTAATTATATAAGGTGTGTATACAATAATATTATGATTAGGTAACAGATAAAGATGAACAATATTGATCGCCGGTAAATTTATCGCTTAGAAAAATCATCGTCAGTAGAATATTATAATCAATTTTTAAGTCTCATGCTATTGCTTAAAATATTATTACCTAGTTTAAAAATCAAAGTTGCTCAAAATACAAAAATATGCTATTCGTCAGTATACTTATTTATATTATTTTAATGTTGAAATCATTGGATGATACCTTTTAAAAAGTAAATTTTGAGTCGACTTGTACAGTATTGGATTGCTTTTATAAATCTTTCTGCGTGTCTTTTGTATCATATATTTATCACCGATTAGAATTTCAGTGAGCAATTGATTGGTTGTAATCGTACACAATGACTTTCTTGATTTAGAAATTAAGCTATACATTTCCATAAGGTCGGATGTCATATATGTTCATTTCATAGCAATCATATTTATTTGTATTTCTATTGTGTCAACATTAATATTTTTCTTTCAAAATATTATTCAAATTACGCGAGAGAAACGATATTTATTTATCTGTTTTATAATATGTTCACTAACACTTTTATCGAATCTGACTATTGGTATCCACATGCTGTAAAAGTATGACGAATCAGTGTTAAGGAAGAATCCAAAGACAATAATATAATATACTATTAAAAGTGTGTGGTGCCGTTAATTGAGCATTAAACATATACCGAATACCGATAACACGTCTTGTGCGCAGTCACTATTAATACTATTTTTTTTAGTAAACCAAATCCAAAAGCTCTGTCGTCATCCCCGCAAAAGGTTATTCTGTGAAATACCTATGGACTGGATATATATATATGTAAAATACACACCAAATGCTGACCGGTGTTGGACCTTGTCTTGATTCGTTCGCCCCGATGCAATCCTACACGTGTCCTTTGAATTATTTATTTAGTCGGTGATACGTTAAATCTATTTGGATTACACTGTCGGTGACCAACGTCTGTTTGGTTTACTGTTTTTCGAATACGTTTTGGTTTTTTTTTTTAAATTTCATTTCAACAACCGCTTGTCCACATAATACATTAATATGTATGTATAGGCGTATACAGTATGTCAACCATGTTCAGTTTGGTCAGCACTACTATAATATACTGGTGATTTTGGTCCAAGAAAACTCCCAATAGATCACTCACGGTCCCGGTCAGAATCTAAAACAATAACAATAAAATAATTATGATTGTCGTGGTAAATTAGTTTTGATTAGTATCGACGAGTGGGGTTTGATGATCATCAAAGCGGGATAGTGTATAAACGTATAAGTCCTGATTATTATTTAAATAGCACGTTACAATACCTATGATCACCCTCTTTTATATGCCTACACGATTTGAGTGTATCGATGCGTATCGCTTCAATATAGACTTTAGAGTACATACCAGCAATATGTACCGACCCGTATCCGACTCAGACTTCGATACGAGTCGGTTTGTAACCGTTCAGAGGATGCTACCCATGCATTTGTTGCATCCGTCGTACACACGTGTACGGTTTAGCAAATGTCCGTTCACTAGTTTCAATAGTGTGCTATTAGTTTTGATATTAGAGTGATTTGACCTATCTTCAATTTTTTAGATAATAATATTATCTGTGTTCAAGCATTGGCTTTTTTTCGATACTTTAATTTTCAAGCGAGATATGTGCATTTTTAATTTTTGATATTTTCACATACCCATATCTTGCTTGAAAATGAAAATTTCGAAAAATCGGCAAAGCTTAAGCACATATAATGTTCTTACCTAAAAGTTTCATAATAGGTCAATTCACTCTAGTACCAAAACTAACAGCACACTATTGAAACTAGTGAACGACAATTTGGTATGTGAAGGACGTTGTTTGTGGAAGACGGGGACAACAAATGTATGGGTAGCATCCTCCAAGTATCGATATAGGTATCGAATTTTTCTTCTTGAAATTCTTGATACTTACGCGCACCTGTTAACGAAACGCGTATCATGCAGCTACGTAACCACGTGATACCCATCACGGTGTGTTAGTTAACCTTATAGAGATTCAGCATAATATAATATATGGTAGAAAACGTGGTTCATAATCACGAGTGACGTACGGGAAACGCCAGTTGTTACGCGTTTTATTAGACGATAACGTGAATCCGATGTGATATATATATTGATAATATTACTATGTATATATATACAATATCATGACCCACGGGCTTGGAGAAATTTTTGTAAGGTAAAAAGGTATATAGGTACAGATATGTAACGTAATTATATAGTAATTAAAACAAGTGTACCTCGTTATAACCACCGTACGTATTATCATCATTATATATAGGTAGTACACAACGTGGCTACGGGTAATTTAACGACGATCATTAAAAAAAAACCCAAATAATTTTTTATCTCATTATGATTTTACATTTATCTCGTTTGTTATAACCGGTACGTCCGGTACAATATATCCCTATCATTCCCATAAATTATTATTTGGCGTGTGCAGATACATATAATATCCGATCCTGCTGCAAAGTACTTGAGTACCTAGTTATATTTAAACACCTAGTCTTATACCTAGTATTTTAGTATTTAAAACGTTATTTCATTCTTTTTAAATATTTATATTTTAAACTTCTAAAAAAAAAAAAAAATGACGGCTAAATAGAATTTTAGAAATATACTAAACGCCTATGTTGTCAATTTTTCATCGGTTTTTCTAATATGCTAATGCTATAAAGCAAGTATCTGGTATATGTTATGATATATGATAGTTAAATACAGTACCTAATTGTAAATCATTTTAACAGAGGTAGATAATACCTATATAATACCTTCCATATCCATATTATAGTTGATTATTATGATATTATACTTATTTATTACATTAAATACTCAAACGCAAAGATGGGAAAAATTGATGAAAATAATTAACTGAAGTTAGTCATATTAAGTAGAACGATAAGTTAATTGTTAGCAAGCAATATATTACTTAATTTAGGAAGAAAAATATTAACTTAACTCGGATAATTGTAAGTATTTTTTTAAAACATTTTTTTTTTCTAAATATTTACAAAACGTTTTATTAAAAATACTTCCTACTATTATAGCCGTTCTTTTAGTGCTCAAGTTAAAGTAGTTTTGTACTTGTTTGTATCAACAAAATAATTAAATTATTGAAAATTTTGTATTTAAAATTTTTGGGTACAGCTAGATTAAACAAAAATGTATTAATTAATTAGTTTTAATAATTAGCTACTAAAGTTATAGATAGGCAGACAGTTGTGTATAAACATGATTTTAACTTAATGTATTATACTTAAAATTAGTTAGAAATAGCTACATTTCTGTAATGAATACTTTATCTACCTATAAGACCTGTCTAGTTAAGTTAAAATTATGAAATAAATTTAACTACATAGGTCAGATAAAAAGTTAAAAAAAATTAACTTTGTAACTAATATAATGCCCACCTCTTATAATACTAAACATAATTATTGTAGTTATTACCTACAAAAACTGTCGACTGAAATCGTCTTTGATAATAATAATTATAAATTATTAAAATGTTGGACCTTTTTGTTTTGCAGCACGTTGACGCGTATGTCGAAGAGTCACTGACCGATTTCTACAAATTTGACGAAATTCTCAGACAAGACAGGTCTACTTGTGCGAGGAAAATGATATGTCAAATCGCGGCTACGCCTGAAAATCAGCTCAACCAAGTGGAGAAAAATCTGCTCAAACTGCTCAGGTGAGTTCTCCATAGTGTTTGCAATAATATGTATATAATGTAATCTAAAACACAAATGATATAATACCATAACCCCTCTCGTTATAGTAATAATAAATATATTACAAGTGCCACGACGAATGGGGAAAAAAAAAGATATTAGATGTGTCATAGTAATTTTGTTCGACTTTATCAGTTCATTTTTTTAAAATAACTATTTAATTTTTTAAATGTGTTAATTTTATAGTTTTTAATATCAAGGAAGAACAAAAGTAGAAATAATAAGTAAAAAACACAACTATAATTGTAACAACGTAACATATATTATTATTGAATAAAAAACTAAAAAGATGGGACTACCTATGGGAGTATATTTTAAACGTAACATACACATAATATTTATGATACATAATATGTACCCATACATATATGTTCATGAAACCGTAATTTAATATGGGTTAATATAATATTACAATTCGATATTTTATGAAAAGCTTTAAAAACTAGTATTACAAAAATATGTTGTCGTACGTCTATGAGTATATTATGACATAATAGTCATCAGCTGTTTTAAGTAATAAAGCATTGATTACGTGTTATTTTAGTATTATATTTACTAACTGTTTCGACTTTCCGGTGAGAACGGAAAGATCGATTTCGGGCGAATCAGGTACAATATTGCACTGTTTGGTAGTGTGTGGTAAAAAAAAAAGAATTCGAATAAAACTTGGTATACGGCAGTGACAACAAAATGTCATTCGGACATTTGTGGGAAAAGGAAAGATTTTCATTTGGAAAATAATATAAATTTATTGGAATTATATATATAATTATATAATTGTATAACCTCTCAGTTGCAAATTTTTTACACACATTTATAAGCCATTCAAATTCTTCATTTATAAAATTATAGACATTGAGTCAAAAACAAAATATTTATCATACATAATACAATTATTGCGTAGATAATATTACAGTGAAATGTAAAATGTTATTGGTAAATTATGTTAGTTGTCTAAATATTCTTACTTTAGAAAATAAACAATAATTATCGATGGGTAGTAAATAATAAAAAAAAAAGTAGAGTATTTGTTTGGTGGTTGGGGGGGAGGGGGAGAATGAGAGCAATAATTAAAAAATAATACAGAGTTATACACAAATATGGACGAGAAAGTCGTTTGTACTGCCTACCCATATCTCATTCATTACACGCATCTAAAATTCGACTGATAAAATATGCAAATTGGACTAAGCGACAGAACCCCCGTTTACCCCCCCCCCCCTAAACTCAAACGTTAAACCTTTATGGCGTTATCCAGACGAGATTAATAATTGTTGTTTATTGTACTTGCGGTTAGGTTATAGGCCGTCATTGCGGTGTCCCTCGTCGAAGTACCTCTCGGAAAACCGCATCTAACGATATGCCGGTAGTGCTGAGAGTTATTGCGATTTCCGGTATTTGATTTATCGGATGTACAGATATAATATATTTATAATCCATCAAATTACATGAAATATGCAGAACTATTATAATTTATAATTACTTGTATTGTATTACTCTGTTTGTTGCTCAGCGCGTTTTATCCAATAAACCATCTGGATCGTGGTATAAATGAGTTCGTACGGTTAATAGTAATTTATCATAGTAGTGTTTAATACAATATTCAATTACGTATTCTGATTTTCGTATTCATATATACATATTTTTCTGCGAACCCAAATATTTATTAAATTGAATTGTATTAAATGTACTGGGTAGTGGGTACCTACTGTAATCGAAATACGTAATTTGGATTTTCAGTTTATTCGATGCAAAATCAAAATGTATGTAGTTCCGCTGTACGTTTTGGGCATGTTTAGTTCGTAATGAGCTGCAATGCGCGTCATGCCAACCTTAAAGAGTTCACACGTCATAATAAAATATATTTATACACGAAAACAAAGAATAAGAGGTAAAAAACCGTAAAATAATAAGGGGAAAAAATCGAGCACAAACAGTAAAAAAGTCTGTGTTAATTTATTACCGAAAAAGGAAAAGTCCCGAGTCGGAATTGCAAGTATAAAAACGTCTAATTTACAAAAATAATTAGACTACATTTATATTTTTATTACCGCTACATAAAGTAACGACCATAGGGTAGGTACCTGTGTTGTTATTAGTACAAATTAATGTTGTTTTCGTTTTTATACAACGCTGGCCTCCGATAAGAAATGTAATTATTTATGAATCAAAGTTATGTCAAACATTAAAATGCCAAAATGTGATCGATGTTCATTTCATATTTTTATTCCCATAATGTACCTACCAACAAAAAAGTCACCGATCTTGGCATATAAGTTTATATTGATTTTGGTTTAAAACTAATTTAGTCTAACATTTTGTATTTAAATCAGTATATTTTTTCCTCTCTCTGAATAAATGAAAATTGAACCCTATACCGTAGATTGAAATGTATCTGATATACGACTGTATTGATCATCGTCCAAGTATAAAATATACATACAACAAATAGCAATCGATCACAGCATAAGCTGAAATAATTACCAGAACAACATGTTTTGTGGAATGTTAAAGCCATTTTCGTAGTCTCTTACATTCATATTATTGTTGGGGATTTTATATAAACTTTGAGACCTTTTTCTCAATTTCATTCTACTGAATTGTGTTTTTGTACCGGTAATCATGTGTCGCTGTTACTGTCTCACATAATGGTTAGGTAGTGGTTATCAATAGGTCGCTTGCAATAATTGTAGATTTACAAAAAACATGCAATTAAATACTACTGATTTTTAGGAACAAATCTGAAAAACTCTAAAACTATTTGGATTTAATTTATTTATTTTTAATAGTATCAACAATAGGTATAAATTTAAAAATAAAAAATCACCAAATATAATATTCTGTTTCTACTTGATTCGCTCAGAGTCTGCGAGATTGATGTAGATCACCTACAAACTCTAACGAAATATAAGTAAATAGTGTTTGTCATCGAGGTGTGCCTATTATATGTTAATATTATAAACAAGTAAATATATTGTCTTGAATAGATTTTATACACAAAAAAAGTGGTTATACCACCTAAATGGTGCGAAGTTGTAGCGACATAAATATAATAATCCTAATACGACATTTATCGGCTGTGGTTACAAACCTTTTTGGGAGACGCACACCTGCAACCATTCATATGGTATACTCGTCGGCTTGGAGCACACATGAGATTTTCGTGATCTGCTCTGAAAAGTTTCCATCTTACTTCTCCTTATTTGATACATTTTTGTCCAATCATATTATGTGCAAGTCCTTGTGGTAGTTATGTAATTATTGATGTTTTTGTTGTTGTATTTTACTGTTATTATGTATGTATGTAATCTTGGCTTTCAGAAGAATAGTGACTCGTTGGCGAGTCAAAAGGAGTGTTTTGCTCGGAACGAATCAGTTGGTAAAATTATAAGGCGTCCAACTATTAATAATAATAGTTGTTATAAATTGATAAAAAAAGTCGATTTTAATTTTAATTTTTAAAATTTAAATTTAATTCAATATATTCACACACAAAAATAAAATTTACAAATATGTATTTGTTTAAGACTCATTAAATGGCTGTATCTTGAGTCTATACCTACATTAATTTATAGATATATAGGTATTGAACAATTCAATTATTAAATGTTTCAAATTTGGATTAAGCCGTTATTTCTATAGTCTTAATAGACATTTCTTTTTAAGTACATAACTTTGAATCAAGTACTATAATGTAAACGTATACAATATATAAATATCATATATAAGTTAGGTGTTCCACGCTCATATTCACGACATTTGCAGAAGGCGGCGTTTGGCGTTTGTAGGGTGTACATTGAATAGAATTATAACGTTTCCTGTAAGACGATAATATATTAATATGTTGCATAATGTGCACAATGACAACTAACTTCGTCTCATTATTATTGAAATCTTGCTTCACACAAGTTGTCAATTTTACAACGAACCAAACGTGCATCTAACCTTAGTCTCGACGGCCTCTTTTATTCGCATAATCGTATCACATAACCTACATATTATTTATGACTGCGGAATATGAGTTTACGCATTTTCGTAACGTGACGATTTTGACAATAGGTAGCGGAGACCACGGAAACATGTTCCACAACAAACCATAAAAATTCTACGAGAGCATATATAATATAAAACAAAACGTTGAGTGGTAGTATACTATAGTAACTGTGTACCACAATAATATAGTATAGGCACGTGCACCAAGTCCTGAGGATGAACTCATCTAAATAATAAAATATTTTTAGGTATATATTATTATTTAGACCGCCTCAACCGTCCTGTAAAAATGTGAAGAAAAGTGTAAGTCGCATGGGAATACGAGACATATTATAGGTAGTCCGCTGTAAAAAATACACCTTAACGTGATTAACTCTATATGACTAATGAAAACTTAAAATAATATTTCAATCCAGACAATTCAGTTTTGGTATAATTCATAATAATATATGAATATATATTTATCTATATTTTAGGTAGGTATAAGGTGTACCATATATATATATACGGTGTACAATGTACCAATATCATTTTATTTTCGATATTTTCGATTGGATTAAAGTATGATTGAAAATATAAAAATGGCAAAAGATACATATAAAAAATAAAGTAAAAATACATTATAAATTCATAACGTTAAACGGAAAAATATAATAACGTTGTTGTTGCACAATAATATTTAACGCAAAAGCAAAGTAATGATACAAATCTTGACGAAATTATTTTAAACCCCATCATTGCCCACACCCCCGCCTCACGCGAACAATACAAAGCACTTTTTATGGCGTATTTATCCACTTAAAAAAACAAAATAATACTTACGTTGGTACCTAAATATACCTAAGTTTAAAATTAAATTGATAATAAATCAGAAATACGCGTCAAAATATCATACAGGGCTGAATAGGTATTATCATAAATGAATCGTGAAGTTCAAAACGGTTATTGAGGGGTTTTCGTGGCATCA